TTGAAAATTTGTAAGAGAATGATTCAGTGTGAAAACATGAAACAGCAGAGTTAGCTTCAGCATGTTGTGAAAGCAATGCATTATTTGAACAAACTCTCTCAATTATGAATATGTTCTAAAATGAATCAGGCAAGATATTGATATGGTCAAAACCATCTTTATTGTTAAAGCTAAACCTTTATTATCATCCCTTGAATTTCCCACTTGTTCGTTTGAATATTAGGCATAAGAAATTCACTCTCCTGGGAAAGTGGCCTGATTATAACATTAACTTTCAGTTATGTATTTAAGGTTTCCTTTGGGACCCAAGCTGAAACTCCTCTATGACAATCGGTATTTCTGTAACTCAGTCCCCAGGATGCAATTTTTGCCCTGTCCTCAAATCTTCAACATGAAGATTTTCACACAGCCAATCTGAGTCTGATCAACCTAAATTCTCTATAGTTAGAGTTTTATCTTTTTTTTTTTTTATCTTAGTCTGATTCTATAAGAAGCCATGGTATATGGGAATACTGTGGAATAAGAGGTACTAAAAAGCCCTAAACCTTACCTTCTATGCCCTTCTTGTTTGCATATTTGGTAAATTCATTCAAAATGTAACAACCCTGGATGAAACACAGTAGATTTTTACAAAGAACTTCATAATGAGCTGAAGAAAAGGTGTTTCTTTTACCCAAGGCAGCTCAGATTGAAGAGTGAGGCATGCACTGAAGTCAGGGTATTATTACTTTCTATTGATAGCAGAGGAAACAGGAAGTGATGGTTGCACATGCCCACTTTAACTGTTTGAATTAATGTGACAGAGAGAAAAGGCAAACAGCACAAGAGAAATACTGAAGGTTTACCTGTACTTTTCTGAGCTCCAACCAGGACAAGTACTTCCTACTTCTCTCCCAAAAGAAATCTTTCCTGAGTATTATGAAAGTGGTGTTTTTCACTCAGAACGATTTCAAATACTACTTTTATTGGCTTTATTCAAAAGTCTATTGGGCCTCCCTGCTGGTCCCTGATTTGGGGTGTTTTTTGGTTTTTGTTTTTTTTTTTTTGTTGCACATTCAATGTCAATATGAATGCCAATTATATTACTTAAATACTTACCTTTTTGGTCTTATCTTTCTTTTTTTTTTTACCCCTTATTCATTTCTTCTGAGTTCTTTACTCAGAGTAGTGACCTAGATAATGAATTTGGTCAATCTACCATATTAGTTAATGAAAAACATGATTACTAGCTTTTAAGAAACTTAGGCCCACTAGACAAAAAGGGGCTTAGACTCAGTAGTCCCCCTTTTGAGGATTTGCTTAAAACTCAGTGACACTGTATACCTTATGTTGTGAAACCTAAAGCTAAGTTTACCTTTAAATAGAGAATTATTTGCTGGCTAAAGGGGGGCATTTAAAAATATATATTTCATATCTTACAATAATTGTGATTTGCAGATGTTCGATGTTTATCAGATAGATTCCAAATGATCTCTTCAAATGTAGTTTTCTTTTAAGCAACTACAAAAAGTGAATCAGATTTAAATATTCATAGTCTTATGGTAAAGATTTATTATGAAATGTATTCAAATTCTGAGATTTTTATTTCACATGAAAATAAAAAAGATATTTAATTAAAATTGTCATTTAGACTGATTCCTATAATAAAACAATGGCTATATATTTCTGGCCCTAAATTCAATGTCTGTATTGTAAGATAATGACTCCTTTTTTCCTAGTGTGGCAATAACATTCCAACTTTGGTCTCAAGAACCCAGATCCTAAACTTGTTGCAAGTTTTAACAAAGTAAGTCAAGAACCAGAGAGTTTGACAAAAAGTACACTAAGCAAACCCAAAGGCTGGGAAATAAGATTTTATTTAATGTTATCTCTCCATCATAACGTCATAAGAAGAACTTTATATCAAATTTCCTGATGCAGTAATACTATTTGGCAGGATTCTGCTTAGCTTCATTAAAACTTTAATGTAATTGTTCTCCTTTTAAATATAAAATAGCGTGATAGATAGTGGTCAGTCTGTTTCTTTTGCCTTTACTAGCTAATGGGATTTAGTTCTCTGTTTTATTTTACTAAATTAATTAACTTGTTAGCTGAAGTACTGTCTTGGGGTCAGAAACCTGAAACTTATTTTAGACTTAATAGCAAATGGATAATGAAATTTATCATGTGGTAACTGAAAAGAATTGAAGAATAACATAACTTGAGATTGAAGAGTAAGAAAGAACTTTTAGAAGGTGAAATAGCATGTCACAGCAATGACCAGCAAAAAACCTTTGGCATGCCTGGTTTAGACTCTAGTCATATCATTACTCATCCATCATATTAGAATAGTTGGTGATGTTGGCCATACTTTGAATCAACCCATCACTTCACACATAATTGTTTCAGTACTCATAAGCTACAAAATAAATTACTCCAAAAGTAATTTATCATTTGTTTGATACCTTCCAAAACGACAATGGTAAACTACCTACTTTCTTCAAGAGATGGAGGTGAGTGGGGTGGGGGAAGAGTGATGGAAAAAAAAAAAAGATTTTGAATTGTGTCTATGGGGAAGTGTTTCCAGTAAAATTGTTTATGAAAAGAATAAAAGACAGCAAAGAAACTTACTGTTCTACTTTAAAATGAATGTTTACTCTCTTCTGGTATCAGCTAGTCTGGCTTCAAGGACCCTAGGCAAACTGACAAGTTGAGAAACAACTGTTAACACTTCTTTCTTAAAGGGACCTAAATTACTTAAAAACCAAACGTTTCTATCTGGAGATGGGGTCCTAGCTGAATAAAACTCTTCTTTTCATCAGCAGCCTTTGGATTTTTCTTAACCAGACAAACACACACACACACACACACACACACACACACACACACACACACATCTTTTAGTCAACTTGGGAGGTGTTTATGTGGATTCGTATTTGGTTTGTGCCACAAATGCATTTGACTTTGTTATACTTGCTTTTGAGGGGTGGGGTGTACTTTATACTGATTCAGAAATGCAGTTGGGGGAGCTGACAATTGTCTTTCCACCTTGAATCTCTCAGGATGGTGCATAATTTCAAAGTTCCGTATCCTAGGGTAGGTAAGAGGAAGGGGGGCAGAAAACAGCAAAGTGGAAACAGAAAACGGAAGGATGGGTAGAGAAGAGAGAAAGGGAGCAATAAAAAAAAAAAAGGAGAGGGAATGGTGGAGAGTGGAGGAGAAAGAAAGACTTCCTCACTGCAGTACAGAAATTGAGAGTAATCAGTTGCTCCTTCCCAAAGCCTCAGCACTAATCTTAACCACTGTCCTTTTCTTTCCAGACTGTGATGATGTGTTCCCTTCTTGAGCCCGGGACGATCTGCCCTCTCGGGTAGTGTAAAAACTCTGCTCGCTTTTTGGTGCAGAAGTGGTGGCCGCAAAGGGAGATGAAGGTAGGTGGAGAGTTGTTCCCTCCTCCCACCCACACCTCCGCCTCCTTCCCTCCCCCTTCAACCAGAAAGCAGCAGCACCCCCCTCGGAGCCCAGTCCGGCTTCATTCCGTTACCAGTCCTCTGGGGGCTGGGAAACAGCAGCCACTTGCTGCCTGAGTAGATGGGGGTTCTGGCTGCTGGTGTTGACTCTTGTTGATGTTGGGGTGTCAGAAAGGCAGCGGAGAGCCTATGATCTACTACACTGCAGTGCCAGCGTCAGGAGCCTCCAGCTCCGGAGCTGCCACTGCAGGACCGCGAACCCACACTCACACGCGCGCGCGCGCGCGCGCGCGCACACACACACACACACACACACTCACACACAGCCCCACGCTCCCCTCCGTACACACAAACAGACCCACACGCACACTCTACAAGGTTTCCTCTCAACGCAGCGATGCTTGCGGCAAACCAATCCGTGGGAACTGTGGGGCACAGAGCTGTTTTGGGATGTGTGTGGTGCTAGTTCCCTGAGAGGCAGCTGTGAGGTACAGTGCCCAGGCTCCTAGCTGCTGCAGCCGCCACCACCGCCGACACCCAGTCCTTCTCCTCCTCCTCCCTCCCTCCTCCTTGTTGCTGCCCACAAGTACGCGGCCGCCCCAGAACGCCCCAAACTGATCTAGGGAGAAAGTGAACCCGTGGGATCTGACTCCCCAAAACACCTGCATTTGCATTTCTTATGTAATGTACTGCAAGTTTCCTTGTTGGAGCCCATTTGAACTGAGGCGCATGATCACCAACCATCACGCTACAGCCCAGACCCACATCCCAGCCCATCCGGGCAGCAAAGCACCCAGGCAGGTTTAAAGCAAAACAATAACAACCTTCTCCTCCCCAGCCCCTCAGCGTGCAGTAACAGAGTGCTGCTGGACACAAAGTGTCTACTTGGACTTGGTTTCCCTCCTGGCATCAGCCTGGGAAAGTACCCTTGTGGCATGATGTGTCACTGGCAGACGGGGGAATGAGTTAATCCACGGGCACCCTGAGCTAGTGGGGGAGAGGGAGGCGGGGGCTGATGGTGATGGGAGGTGGGATGTGAGAGAGGGAGGAATGGGGCCTGATTTTACTTTGGTAAAGGTGATCGGTGTGACGAATATTCTGCAAGCTAATCAGAAAGTATTGTACAGAATCTCAGCTCCTGAACCCCATGTCACTGAACCCACAGGGAGGGCAGTCTGATAAGTAAAGAGAGCCTCCCCTACCCCCAGATCCTCCTTCCTTATAACTATCAAAGCTTCGGCTGCCTAATAGGAAACCGCTAAGGCACATCACTTTAATATTCCATCGAAACACGAATAAAATAAAAATGTTTAAAGTTTTCTCCCCTCCATTGATGGGATGTGTCACAGCCAAGAGATGTTGATAATGGTTTTTGTATTCGCTGAAGCTATTCCAGCTGTTTATTCATATAACACCTCTACATGCAACGGCTGGTCCTGGCTTCTTTATTTTTTCCCTTCCTTCCCTCTTAGGAGAATTGCAGAGCTATCTCTACGAGCAACAGACAGGTTATTATGAGGGAAAACATAACATTATGCATGTTTTGCTTACCAGTTGGGTTCTTGTTTTTCTTAAGACTCTTGCCACAAAGACACTGCAGCATATGCGTTCCTTTGCTGAAAATGTTCCAAAGAAACCACATTGATTTGGGCGAAAAGCAATCCAGCAGCTTAGACACCCTGAGAAAGAAGAGATCCTTGTGGTTGCATAATAATAATTTGAGATCAGTTCTCCTGAAGAGGGGCACCAGTTTTACCATAGGAAAAACGATAATATTCCGATCTTCTCCCAGTTTTTTCCCCTCACGTGGTATATTTCTTTGAGACTTCTCAATGAATGTTTTTTCGTCCAGGATGAATGATTTATCCCCCTAGATCAACACTGGATTATTACCAAAAGGGTGGGGGGGAAAAATCCTTTTCAGCATGAAGCCAAACAAAAAGGCAAAGAAATCCCAACTGAGGCCAAAAACTAATCAGGGAGAACAGTAATGCACAAAAGATCCCCAAAGAGAAAACCATAGCCTTTTACTTGATCGCTATGAGGATGGGAGGATCTGCAGAAGCCAAAGCAGGAATCATCTTACTGAAAGAAGACTGCCATTGTGTAGCCCCTAGGAGAAAGGAAAAAGGGGGAAAAAAAAGAAAGAAAGAAAGAAAAGAAAAAAGAAAAGAAAAAAAAAAAAAAGAAAAAACACCACACACACTCACACACCAATACCACCTCCGGAATCAAGTCTGACAGATGAAGATATAGATTTCCCTCTGAAAGTGTCGATTTTTTACAATAAATTTCCAGTGATCTGTATAATCTGACTGAACCTGCAGTTTTCAATCACCTCGTAGAAAAGATGAAAATCTAGGTCCCCCTCCCCTTAGCAATCTTGTAGTAGGTGGAGAGAAAGTCAGACCCCCTTCCTCCTTCTTCTCACTCTCCCTGCTTCCAGCAACGGTGTGCATGAGGAAAATCTCCCCTCTGGATTTCTCTCCCAGCCTTGGATGTGAGTTACAGGCATTAGAGGGAGGAGGAGGAGGAGTTGAAGTTTGCATTGAAAAGACTGGCTTTCCATGACGTAGCCACGTGCTTTCAGACCCGTCACCAGTGAGATGCTTCAACCAGCCCGGGGAGGGCAGTGTCACTGCGGTCTCTTTCCAGTACCTCTTTCTCTCCCCCTCCTCACACTGCCAGCCAACCCCAGTCCCAACATTCTAACCTCTGCTCCTTCACCCTCACATCAACCCTAAATCTGAGCTGCTCGTGGCTTGTTCTTTACTGCAACAAAAGACATTAAAGATATTTTATACTTTAAAAAGTGACTTAAAGAAAGGAAAATAATAATAGTAACACTGAAAATAAGTAAGTCATAGCAAAGAAATAACACACTAAAGAAAGGCAAAAGGAAACCTTTCATCTTTCTATGCTGTTGAAATTTTACTTTTATCTTTTCTTGTTATTTTTAGTTCCCTAAACATCAAAGAAATGTCTTTGAAATGTCTTTTTTTTGTGATGAGCTCTTATTAAGTTTTTCATTGCAAAAAATACTACATCAGAATGGAATTTTTTTAAAGTCTGCAGCTATATATATGTGTGTGTGTGTGTGTGTGTGTCTGTGCATGTGTATGTTTTATATCTGTATGTATATATGTGTATATGTATACAGATACATATACATCTCTTTCTCCATTTATGTGTTTTCCAAAAATGGCACCATTTTGGCACCTGCCAAAATCTGTTTAGTAAAATATTAGGACAAAAGCACAAAGCAGAATTGCATATCCTTCCAGCATTATATTTTCCTTAAATAATATTTTATACAGAGACATATGTTAAACTATTCTCATTTAGTTCTTATTGAACTAAATTTTTATCCATTAATTGAATCATCCTAAACTGCCCCTCTCATCTTCTTGATTCTTCTCCTTGCTTAATATGCAACCTAATTACCCCACATTGAATTTCTTCCAAATAAACCAGGGGCAAAATTTCCTTCAGGATAGATTCCTAACTCCAACTACCCACCGAAATGGTAAAGTAGTAACTTTTTTCAACAATGAAACTAACTCCTATCCTTAGTTAAAATGTAGTTCATAGATCTACATAAAGTTTTATACTTGACAGGTGCTGTACATGATTGTCTTATTTAATTCTCAAAAGGACCCTGTGTAGGAGACAATGCAAGTATTGTCAGCCCATTTCACAGATAAGAAAACTAAGGCTCAGAGAATTTGTGTGATTTGTCCAAAGTCAGAGCTAATAGATGGCAAAGTCAGGATTAAAGTAGAAGTATTCTGATCTCAAATCTTTCTATCATATCTCTTCTTCTTTTCTCAGTCAAACTCCTTGGAAAAGTGGTCTACACTTACTGCCTCTACTTCCTCTCCTCTCCTCATATTTTTGCAATTTGGCTTTCAACCTCACGCAACTGAAACTGTTATCTCCAAAGTTACTAAAGATTTCATAATTGCCCACTCTGATGTGAGTTTTTTTTTTAATCTATCCTAATCCTTCTTGACCTATTGGCTTCACTTGAAGCTGTTGACCATCAATCACCATCTCCCCTCCAGGAGCACCAATTTCTACCCATCTGATCTCAGTTGCCTTTGCTGGCTTACCATCATCTCACAAGCTTTACCTATGAGTGTCCCCCAGAAGTTCTGTTATAAATCCACTTTTCTCTCTTTATGATGCTCTCTTACTAACCTCATCCAGTCTCATGGATTTAACTACCATCTCTATGCACATGACTCCCAGATTAATAAATCCAGCCCATTTCTCCCCTAAGCTTCAATTCTGCATTACTTAGTGCCAATTGGACATTTCAAACTTTACATTCCAGAAGCACCTTAAACTTAATACATTTAAAACTAAACTCACTGTCTTTCCTTCTCTCATCCCCTCTTTCAAATTTCCCTTTCTGTCCATAACACTGCCATCCTTCCAGCCTCCCAGGTTCACAATCTGGGCAATATTCCTCACTTTCCCTCACTTCACATATACAACCAGTTGCCAAATCTTACCATTTCTACCTTTACAACATCTCTCCCATTCAACCCTTTCTCTCCGCTCACACATTAACAACCTTCATTTAGGCCCTCATAATTACCTCTTCCCTAAATTATTGCAACAGCTTCCTCAGTGGTCTCCTACCAGCATCTTTCTCCATCATACACACTGTTGTCAAAGTAATTTTCCTTAAGCACAAATCTGACTAAATGACTCTTCTCTTCAGCCAACTCCACTGGCTTCCCGTTGTCTCTAGGCTAAAATATGAACTCCTCTGTTTAGCTTTCAAAGACCTATACACACTGGTCCCAACTTAGCTTTCAGGAATTATTATTATTTCTCCTGCCATTCTCCTCCAACCTGCCAAACTGGCCATCTCTCTGTTCCTCACACCTGACACTTCATCTATAATCTTTATGCCTGTGCATTGCTTATCCTTCATTCCTGGAATATACTTCCTCCTTACTCCTCACTTCTACCTCATAAAATTCCTTTGAGATACAGTTTGGGCATCATCTTCTCTATGAAGCCTTTCCTGATTCCCTCGACAGTTAATGTCCTTCCTCCCAAACTGCCTATATTTACTATTTTGTATATATTTTTTATTTATTAACATTATATTTTTGCTGTATATTTTTGTATGTACTTGTTGTCTCCTCCCTTCCCCCCATTAGAATGAATGCTCATTGTGAATAGGGATTGTTTCATTCTTAAATCCTCAGAACTTAGCCAGTACCTTATGTATAGTAGGTGCTTAATAAATACTTGTTAATATATTGCCATGCCAGGCTGCCTCCCTAGTAAGTTATGTTAATTTCCTTCCTCTTGAAACAAATATGTATGTATCAGAAAATTAACATGGTAGTTAATAACTGTCCCCTGCCTCCAGAGAAGAAGAAAAAAAATAGTAACTAAAAAATCCCACAAAAAACCATACATAATTCTGACAGGTCAATCTTAATGCCAAAAAATTAATAATAGCTAGCATTTAAATAGTGCTTTTAGATTTGGAAAGTACTTTACATATATTAGCTCATTTGAACCTCACAATGACTCTGAGGTAGGTACAATTTATTATACCCATTTTAAGGATAAGGAACCTGAGGCACAGAGAGGTTGAGTGACATGCCCAACGTCTCAGAGCTAATAAGTGTCTGAAGTGGAATTTGAACTCAGGTCTTGTTGATTCCAAGTGCAATGTTCTATCTACTACACTATCTAATTAATTCAAAATTAAAACACTAGCTCTTCTATATATTATCTCAAATTATCTCAATTTTTGATTGAAATATTGAGGTTTGACAAAACAGTAACATGGTGTGCTGGAAAGAATATTACTTGAATCAGGAGACGGTCTTCAAATCCAGGCTCTGCCATTTGCAACCTATGTGAACTTGCACAGGTCCCTTAGCCAATCTGGTCTCACTTTTCTTATCTATAAAATGACGAGTTTGATTAAATATCCTTTGAGGTCTCTTCTAGCCCTAGATCTATGATCCTATGATTTGTTTGAAAGAAAATGAAGTATCATTAGAAGCTATAATAGATAGCTGTTGGGTAATAAAAATGTGATAAATCACTTTCCTACCAGCTTCTCAGTATTATAATAACAAGGTCCTGAATTTGTACTCAGTATCTAGTACCTCATTAGAAAATGTTGGAAGTTATGGGATAAAATGAGAAAGAATTGACAACTAGCAAACAATTTTGCAGGGAAAAAGCCAGAAAGCTAAAATAACATCAACCCAAAAGGTTTCAGAATTAAATATACTTAAGCTCTTTCACAGGGGAGCTCTGCCTTGTACCTGACTTTGGGAGTAGAGAGGAATTAAAAGATTAATTGTATTTGGAATAAAGCAGCAGGTTTGGGAAAGGAAGAGGTTATATCCAAAGTATAGATGTTTCATTTTTAAATAAGTTGGCTTAGGAGGCAAAACTGAAGACACTAGAGGAGGTTAGTTCACCCATTTCTATGATCCTATGGCTGAATTACTAGGTTGGTAGATCAGGGAAATGCTATAAACATCAAATACCTAAATTTCACCAAGGCACTTGACAATTCAGCTCAATTAATAAGCATTTATTGAGCACCTTGTATATGTCAAACACTGGACTTGGCACTGGATATACAAAACCACAAACAAAATAGTTTCTGCCCTTCAGTAATTGGGAAGAAAGCAACATGTATCCAGAGAAGTAAATATGAAATAGATACAAAATAAAGAGAAAATAATTTCAATGTACAAGGAGGCAGTCAATAAACAGTAATTTGTCCCTTATTGTGGGCCAGGCACTGTGCTAAGTGCTGGGGATACAAAAAGAGCCAAAAGACAGTCCCTGACCTCAAGAAGCTTACAGTCTAATGGAGGAGACAATAACAAGCAAACAAATATGTACAAATAAGCTATATACAGGATGAACACTGTTCAGGCGTTTTAGTCA